CACACACACACACACACACACACACACACACACACACACATACGTATCCATATGCGTAAAGTACTGATCTGTATTTCCAACATAACAAGAACTTTATCAAACAAGGGGATAAAGGTATTTTCCTCAAAATGTTCTAACAAAAGCTCAAAGGACAAAAATAGAAAAGAAGAAAACTACAACATTTGTGCTATGAAAACAACGAATAGAAAGAAAGTAGGGAAAATCACACCTTTTGTTGCCAATGTGGAAAAGCATTTGGCAAAATACTGTAGGAATGTAGAGACCAACGATAATGGTTTTGCTAGAAGTGTGTTTTAAATCTGAGTGTAAAGCAGAGAAGATGCATTCAGTTTGACACACTAGGTAAATGCATTGACCACATGTGTTAATGGTTTCAGAGAGAGAATAACTGTTAGTGTTTAAGCATTCAGAAAAAACTGTAATGTGAAACAGCTAGATGAGTCTTTCAATCAAGGCAACAGACCAATAAAAGTACAAGATGAACCAAACAATTTAGCAGTGCACAGGAGTCTTTCAGGTTTAGAGTAGTTTGTAAAACCCGAAGCAGCTCATAGTGTCCCCTCTGACATAGATTAGGTGGCCACCCTACTTTGCATTATGTTTCACTGTTAATTTATCCCCAAGTGGAAATTTTTGCATTAATCTTTTACACAGACACAATTTAGGCATAAAGGTAGACATAGCATCAAATTATATATGTGCAAATATGCTAAATGTACTAATATGCAAATATATCTTTAGTGTGCAAAATACATGTAAATGTACATTGTGTATTATGTATTACCTCAGAGGAGGAGATTCCTCTACTGGCACAGAGTGTCGTTATAGATGGTAACTGCCATGGGCAGGAATGACCTCCTGTAATGATCCTTATTGCAGCAGAACTGAAGGAGTGTCTGACTGACTGAGTAGCTTGTGTAGGGGTGTGTAGTACTGTCCATATTGTGCATTGTGCACTGTCTTTGCACCTTGTCTGTATGCCACTATATGTATAACCGTCTGTGCACTATGTTCTTGCTGCTGTTTGCTCCAGATTTCCCCCGTTGATCGTATAAAGTTAACCCAAATCTTAATCTTCCTTCCTGTCCCTGTCTCCCTTCCTTGCAGGATGGTACAACAGACTGTACATTAACTTCCTGCTCAGAAGGCACATCTTCTTCTTCATGCTGCAGACCTACTTCCCCACCATGCTGATGGTGATGCTATCCTGGGTGTCCTTCTGGATCGACCGGAGGGCCGTCCCCGCCCGTGTCTCCCTAGGTACTGCCCGCTTCTTGCCTGGCCTTCTGGGGCCTCATTATCTCCAGGAAAGCCCAGTAACACATGTGTAACATCTGGCCCCACGGGAGTGGGCCTCAGGGGCAGCAGCAGTCTTAAATCTGCCTAATGGTTCACAGATGTGCTTCATTAAGGTTACACAATGTTTGTACACAATGTTTGCACGTTAGTAAGGAAGCTGAGCTCGGCAGCATGAACGTTTGGCTAAATAAATCATGCTGACATATTTCTGGGCTGTGGGTTTCCTGTCTGAGGGGCTATGAACCTGGTGTCAGCTCTATACATAAGAACATAAGAACTATACAAACGAGAGGAGGCCATTCGGCCCATCGAGCTCGCTTGGGGAGAACTTAACTAATAGCTCAGAGTTGTTAAAATCTTATCTAGCTCTGATTTAAAGCAACCCAAGGATTCAGCTTGCACTACGTTATCAGGAAGACTATTCCATACTCTGACTACACGCTGTGTAAAGAAGTGCTTCCTTAAATCCAGTTTGAAATGTTCTCCCGCTAATTTCCACCTATGGCCACGAGTTCTTGTATTTGAACTAATGCTGAAGTAACTATTCGGTTGAACAGCATCCAAACCTGTTAGAATCTTATAGACCTGGATCATGTCCCCCCTTGACTTGATTGCTGTTGTGTTTCGCTGCAGTGCCCTCTTGTGTCTCTCACAGGCATCACCACTGTGCTCACCATGTCCACCATCATCACAGGCGTGTCCTCCTCCATGCCCCAGGTGTCCTACATCAAGGCCGTGGACATCTACCTGTGGGCCAGCTTCCTCTTCGTCTTCCTGTCCGTCATTGAATACGCCGCAGTCAACTATTTCACCACGGTGGAGGAGATGAGGAAACTCACGAGGGCAAAGGTCACTGTCACCTTCATGCCCTCTGTGGTCAGAGGTTATGAGACTGGCTGGATCAACAGGAAGGTGCTCTTAAGACTGAAAATGTGACATGTCCTTCTCTGGTTCTCTGTGAACCACAAACTAGTTGATGGAAGTGGTTTGACTGAAGAAGCATTGGTTTAACGACAGATATTAACACTGAACCCTGACTGCATGAACATCTTTAACAGGAAGTTATAACTTTTTTTAACATGGAAAGTGTAATTTTTTTTAAAATTACACTTTCCATGTGCAGTTGTTAAAACCATAAGTTTTTTGCGATGTTTGCAGGGTAAAAGCATATGAATGTGGAGCTCACGCTCCCCCTAGTGGCTATCGGTGTAATAGCAACTGCAGAACATGTTTCCAGAGAAATTATTTTTCAGTTTATAGTGGGGAACTGATTATGGGTACCACTGCTAACCAGTAAAAAAATACATGTGGGTACCCCAAATACTCCTCTGGTGTAGATTATGGTGCCTCTTGTAATCTCACATATTTCTCTTCTAGTGAGTCATATAGGGAAAAAGCTTAGACCTGTTCGATCAGTGTGAGGTGGCTGACAGGTGGAGCTGCTGTAGTGCCATCGCAGCTTCTTTGATTGTTCCTTTCACAAGCTTCAGTTAAATGGCTCGGGTTCCCGTGCTGGGCACTGCCTGGGGGTCCGTCAGCACCAGCTGCTGAGCTCCACGTGTCCCTCCCTCCTCTCCACAGGGACCTGCCACCTTGAACGCCACTGTAGCCATGGCCTTCGATGGTTGCTTCCATGACAACGAGCTGGACCTCACCCCCTTCCCGGAGGTCCCTGTCACCAGCATCCCTGATCGGGCAACCCAGTCACACGACTTGGCCGAGCCGGCTCCCACAGAGGGAACCTGGCTACGCAGGAAACGGTCTGTGAGGAGAAACCTCAGCTTCATCATGAGCAACAGCTACATGATCGACTCGTACTCCCGCGCTCTCTTCCCATTGGCCTACCTGCTCTTCAACATCATCTACTGGAGCATGTACTCTTAGACACCGTGCAATTTGTACTAAAGTCAAAGGATGGAGACCTGCTAGTATACACAATGCAGAACATGTGACATAAAGAGCACTATACTCCTGCAGTGATACTGCATCCTCACTACTAAACAGCACTATATTACTAGAATGATACTGCATCCCCACACATAAACAGCATTATATTCCTACAATGATTCTGCATCCCCACACATAAACAGCACTATATTCTGACAAAGATACTGTATCCCCACAACTAAACAGCACTGTACTCCTACAATTCATTATTCCCAGACCTACCCAGCATTATACTCCTACAACAATTCTGCTTCCCCACCAGGGAAAGTGAGGCCAGTTTCAAGGGCCCCTGAGTGATAGGGACCAAAAATAATTTGGAAAATATTTGGATAGGTTTAGGTTATTGGCCCATTATTATATACTTTCATGGGGCCCAAACTCTCTAGTGGTGCCCCTGATCCCCACATCAACAACTAATACCTAAACAGCTATACTATACTCCTACGATACTGCATCCCCACACATAAAAAGCACTACAGTATACTCCCACAATGATACTGTATCCCCAAACCTACACAGCACTGTACTCCAATGGCATTGCATTCCCACAAACACAACTATCCCAAGCAACACTATACTCCAGCTTGAATCTATTTAGTCAAATAGCAAGCTAAAATGTACCATTTACGCAAACTGCATTGGAGACAATTTTGCTTCAAAATAACTACAGTACATTAGAGCAGGCCTCCAGGACCACAGTATCGGGACCTCATGCTGTGGTGGAGGTATCAAGGCTGGACTGTCAGGTCCAGCACTGGGGTGACAGGTCTGACCGCACTGCATCTAGTCTTATAGGAAGAGCCATTTGTGCTCTCAAAGAGCTCACACTACCGACACACTGGATTGGACTGGGTTATGCTGGGGGGATTAGGGTTAGGATTAGGGTTAGCAACTCGCAGGTCACCGCAGGTCAGCTTGAAGACATTATTGCTGAGTACTGTCAATATTCTGTACTCACATGTGGGTGGGTTTGTCATGCGAGTGCATGTGTGTGGCTGTGTGTGATTCAGATGCCTGTGCATGTTGGTGTATATATGTGTCTCTATGTGAGTGTGTGTGTGAAAAACATCCCCAGAAGAATGATGTGGAACTGATACAAAAACATCTTTAACATTATTATAATTTTATTTTCTTATATATGTGGAATTAAATTAAATCTTCTACAAAGAACAATAAAAGCTGTAACAGCTGGTTGACTTATGTGCAGCTCACGTTTCTACAAAAACAACTTCATAAGTACAACCTAAAACATTAGGTTCAGGCTCAGTGATGAGGGCCAGTACTCCTGTGTAGAAGTGGTGGTCTGGCCAATAGGGGGCATCTTTAAGGAGAACCATGTCAGCAAAAAGTGTCTGTCAGTGCCTGTTGGGTGCCCATACAGGTGCTGCTTCATGGACAGGCTCTGCTCCTTCCCAGAATGCCTTGCACCACTTTGTAGTCTTGTACCTTTGCTTTGAAAGCGTTGAATGGAAGTTTCTTCTTGCCATAGTGAGACTTTTTAATACTGCTTGGACTGGAGTGCAATGCTCCATGACTTGGTTACACATTTGGTAAATTCTGAGGTTACTTTCAATGTCTGGTAAGTAGCCGTATCCCAGACGATTAGCCATATCTTAGGTAATTGACCATACTCCAAAATTCATTGCTCCAGGAATGTCATCACACTGCCCTCAGCCTGGGAACATGTTCATGCAGGTCACTAGTGCCCCAACCTGGCACGCTCTCGTTCACAAGCACCAATGCCGAGGTGGAGCTCGACACTCACGCGCAGTAATTGAGGGGGAGAGGTGACCCCCCATTGCTGCGCCTAGTACTGCCGGCCTCGCTGGCTGGCAGGGAGGTGCTGAACGTGTTGCCAGAATGGATGGAAGGCATGGTAATGACAGAGTGGTGCCTCAAGGTGGTGCTTTGGGTGGCTGTCCGGCTCCAGTCTGGGTCAGTGAGAATGGGGAAGCAGTTAGCGTTAGCAGTGTAACTGTCAATCATTCAAGGGCAATTAACACTGCGGCAGCTAATGGGGGGAGCAACAAATGGAAAGCACTCAGTATGATCAAATGATTACTGATCAAGAATTTCTGCTGCAATTCAATGAGACTAAGAAGGCACATCAACAACACTTTCTGTCAATGGGCACTCAAGAAATCCCCCACCAGGCATAAACAGGAGGAGTGGGGCTTCATTATACAGCCTCAATTTTGGGCTACTTGTGAACCGTCTGTTAAATGTGAGGGGTTGGGGGTCATTTACCTGAGTTTTCTGCCAGACGGAGTCTTCCACAGCACAAGTAGGTCCTCCACTGCTGCCGGACATTCTCCTTGACGGCACAGTGAAAGATGAAGATGAAGAAGCCTGCAAGAGAGACAAAAGTGGATTCTGATTGGCTGGGACTTGAGGTCTGTGGACAAAATGAATTGAGTTTGACTGAGTGTAAGCCAGTTTGTTGGGATGCTTTTGCCAGTAGGTTTGGATATGGGCTATGGGACACCACCTTGCAGAGTGTTGAAAATGGCAAACAGGTACATGAAGGGTAGGTTGACGGGCCCCCAGGCAAAGAAGGCGAATCCCCAGGTGAGCCCCAGCAGGACGGTGAGGCCAGCCACACTGCGGAGCTCCTGCAGCACATTCCTCTGCTGCACGTTGTGGGGGTTCTGCTGCCTGACCCGATGCAGCTGCACCAGGACCACCACGAACATGACCAAGTTGAGCAGGAACACCAGGCAGAAGTAGCCAACCACAGCCACGTAGAAGGCGATGTCATTTTTCAGCCAGCAGCTGTGGGGGGGGGCATGATCATGGGAGGGTCATGGGGTCCCATAAAATCCTAAAGGTCTCAAAAGCATCTAAAGCAGCACTATTCAAATTGGTGTCCGGTCTGTTATTCTTCGTCACTGTCTGTATTACACTGCATCACTGTCTGTTATTCTTTGTTATTGTCTGTGTCATACTGTGTCATTGTCAGTATTATTCTTTGTCATTGTCTGTGTTGCACTGTGTCACTGTCTGTTATTCTTTGATCATTGAGCACTGCTGATTTTCCAGCCTTCCTTTACTTGTGAGCCAGGTGTGAAACTTCTGTGCCCAATCAGAATCTATAATTATTAAACTAACTACGTTGGAGAACTGAAAACAAGGCCTGGATTTGTAATTGAGGTCAAGATTTGAAAAGCCCTGATCTAGAGGAAGCAACATTTTAAAGCTCAAAGGCATGATCTTTGCATGCGTGTACAGGTCACTAATCTGCTGAGGTTCATCTTAATGTCCACTAGTAATTGACAGACACTACTGAATGTTGGCAGTGATGCTCTTGGTGTATCTGTGTTACTGTTAACACTAAAACCGCCATTTCCTACACCTATGAACGTCGGCCTCCATTAGCCGCCAAGCAAGACATAAAATGGTATATGCAGCCCTTTTGTTATTGCAAATGTGCCATTAGTGTTAATAATGGCAGAGAATCTAACGGCCTAAATCAAAAAGCCATAATGTTTCTAATATACTGTAGTGGCTGCTCTGTTGGGAAATGGTAAAGATGAAAAGTTATTATAAAATAGTATGAAATGTTGGATAAATAGGCGTAGTCTGTATAAACAAATCTGGTTTCTAAATAGTTTTTATAGCGATTTATTTATTTCAGCGTAATTATGTGTATTGTATCAGAAATTGAATGTAGGACACTGGTGATTTAATGTTCGTCAAAGTTTCTGCTTTTTAACAACTGTATAAAGCAATGTAAATTTTTTATATGAATCAACACAGGTGAAATACTAATTAAAACAGGGGTGCAGATAACTGGTACGCAAGTACACATTCACCTTTAAGAACAATACGTGCAACAATCGATTCTTTGTAAAAGCGCAAATGCGTACTTATGTTATGTGCATTTGCGCTGCAATGAAAACAAAATATAATGTATTTTAATCTAATGCTAACTCGACTTCATTTGCGGTATACGGGTTAAAATGCAAGGTATTTTCTTTCATAGCAACACATATGCACATAAAATAAGTACGCATTTACGCTTTTACAATCGATTGTCGCACGTATCGTTCTTAAAGGTGAATGCGTACTTGCGTACTAGGTATCTGCACCCCTGAATTAAAAAGTATGTTTTTATTTGAAATGAACTGCAAAATGTTTTTTGAACTTGACTGCATTTTACACGCGTGCCCTTGCTGTATAAAGCAACTCAAGTACATTGAGCTGTTTTTCCCGGCGGCAGACAAGGGATACAAAGTGAATGCTCCCTTTGCTTTATTAGCTTCCCTATTCATGATGTGTTGCTCAGAGGCTCCCCCGCCAGGCCCTTCATAAAATGCAGAATCTACACATTCTTTATGTTACATAAACACAATTGTATTAGGGGTTTTATGGCTTTTTTGGGGGTGACAACACCTCTGCAGCTGTGAGGATGACTGACTGTTTTCTTGATGGGTGAAGGATATGCGAATGCGATGGGCCGTTAGTGAAAACAATTAAGTGTCGCTGCTGGCAGTTAAAGGAGGTTGGAAAAAAATTCTGGTTCTAGTGTTAAACCATGAGCTTTGGCCATGACTATGTGTCAAAATAAGCCATGCAGCCAATATAATAAAGCTAACAGAGACATTTGTCACATGACGGGCAAACTCACAAGTCATCCGTGGATCCGTCTGCGTACTTCCCGTAGGCAATCAGGCCGTAGTTGTCCTTGTTGATGGCAATAACGATGATGACCACGACCAGCGGAACCCCTGGATGGTTTGTCACCGGCGTCATTTGTTGTAAAATCATTACTAAACTTGGCTAAAATATACTATATTCTGTATTTGTTACGATGTATATGTCAAATATGTTATAAAACCCACTGGCCCTTGGTGACTTACCCCAGCCAATCAGAGAGAATTTGAGCATGTATCTGCTCACATAGCTGTTGAAGACCTTGACCAGTGCTAGGTACATGTGGAAAGCCTCCAGGCCCATCCAGGTGAAGGAGGCCAGCAGGAAGTAGTGCAGGAAGAAGGCGGTGGAGATGCAGAGGCCCACGGCCTGACGATATAGCGCCAGCCAGGAGTCCAGCAGGAAGACCATGTTAAGCAGCAGCAGGGCCAGGGAGAGCTGGATCAGGATCTTGGAGGGGATGTCCCTGCGGAGTTTCCTAAGGGGATGAGGTCACGGAGGAGCAGTGGCTCAATCTGACATCTATCCTCAACCTCACAGTTTCTGGAAACATGAGAACTCCCCCCTCCCCAAAGCCCCCCTCTCTTCGCTGCTGGTGTGTTTGTATATTATGGCCCACAGGTGGCACGACATTCCCGAAATGTGACTCACTCAAAGCCCAGGTAGGTGAGCAAGGTGAGACAGAGGAAGATGGCGGAGACCCCGCAGCCGATGTAGGTGATGAAGGTGAGGATGATGTCCTGTTGGCGATCACTGATGCCACCCCTGGATAGGTCCTACAGAACCAGCAGGTCCGACACAGAAGTCAGAACACAATCCTGAGAACTGTACCTGATATTAAAGGCACCTGGCTAGATGTTCCTGCTCCTTAATCACAAATTCCCTCCTGCCAGCCCTGCTGGCCAGCTGCCCTCTCACAGGCTCATATGTCACTGAAGAATTAAATTAAAATTAAGAGACCCCTCTATAGGTTTTTTAAAATCTGCATTCTTAAATCCTGGTTTAATCGTGGTTCTGCTGGCAGAAGACTACACTGAGCAGCAGGTTGCTTCCAGGCTCAGAATTTCTAAGACAGCAATACACAAGAATAAGGTGAAGCAGGAGACACTGGGAACGACCAGAAACCAGCCAGGTCAGAAGCTAGAGCAGATGTGACATTCTAATGGCAGAGATGCGCGTTAACTTATCCGACAGTTTCTCACGAATCATAGGATGACGTTAAGTGACCTTCAAAATGCATTCTTATGCAGTCCAAAGAAATGTTTAAAGCTGTTTATCTGGGTAGCAAGTGTACTTTGGCTTAGAACAAAAACACAATTTAACATTAGAACATGTGCAAATTAAGAGTAACACAACAAAAACTAGTAATAATTTCTTCTGTTTTCTAAAAAGTTACTGATATCTAGTTAGATGGCTAGATGAACACCGCTTCAGTTCCCAAACTTCTCCTCAGGGGCACCTCAGCCATTCCATGATTTTGTTAAATTTCACCAACAGCTCAATTAAATAATTAAATAAATTGGTTTAAAAAGTCAGTGACAGATTGAGTAGCTGTATGAGGTGTGCTAGTGGCCAAGTCAAAAAATACATGGCTGCACTGGATGGTTGCTGCAAATACTGGGATGATATTAGCAGAGGTTCTGAAATGACTAAGCTGACACACTTTGACAGGCATAATATCATAGTTTTACACCAACACGAGGATAATCTAAACATCATTTTCTTTGCCTGCCTAAGACTTTTGCACAGTACTGTGCATATGTATATATATATATATGTGTGTGTGTGTGTGTTATTCACACATGCACACCCATAGATTGAGAAAATTTTTGCTGTAGTCTCTTAATTTTTTTCCAGAGCTGTATATCAACAAATCTTGTAATTGTGACTCAAAGAAAAAGGCCCAAATTGGAATTATTCATAATCTCACCAACAGCTCTGCAAAACTGGTCAGTATACTCACCAACAGCACTGCAAAACTGGTCAGGTGGTTACAGCTGCAGACAGTTCGCTCATCTGTTTCATTCTGGACAGAACAGCCAGCTGTGTTCCACCCCCCTGATCCTCCTGCCATGGAACATCGAAACATGAGCAGCGGTGGCCACCATACAGCTAGAGGGCCCCCACCTGCTGGCATAAAGCTACAGAATTCCGCGACTGTCAGGGGAGCAGCCCTCTATCTTCACAAGGATTATTAGGACCTACGCAGCGTACAGAATTCAGTGAAAGACACTCAATGGACACCAACTCACCATTAAAGTTAAAGTCCCAGAACACGCAGGAGACTTTTGATGAGCTCTGATAAGACATGAGAGAAAAAGGGTTATAGGGAGTGAAGTTTGGATCCTTTCAGGAGTGTGCTGGCCTCCCAGAAGCCGAGTAACACACCTGGGGAGGCTGTGCATTTCTCAGGGTGAAGATCACGTTGTCTTTGAGGTCCTTGATTGACAGGTTGCCCACACTGGTGCCAAGAACGCCGCTGTTCAGCTTCTGGCTTCCAAGGTTTCTGTCCTGTAGAGAATACAGATGAGGGGCCTAGTGAAGGAGAGCTCTCCTGGCATGGGTTGTTGTATATATAGATGATCTGTAGCCATGGGCCTGGGAGAGATCGGCAGATCTGCTTATTAGTTTTGGGATGAACACAGTAAAATTAATGATGGTGTCCTTAGTGGGTGGCGTTGAGGGGCACAATGGCTCATTTGGGGGGGGGCATGGGGGTTAAGGGCCTTGCTCAATACCTGGAATAGAGTGCCATTCAGGTAGTAGTTGAACTGGATCCTGGAGGCCAGTGGTTTATCTGCGGGGGTCAGTCCATCAGTCAGGGAGGAGGGAAGTGTGATGGAGCCCAGGGAAGCAGAGGTGTTTGCGGCTTTGGGCTCGTTGATGACATTTATCTATAGGGCATGCAGTAAACAGGTCAGATTCCTCAACATATGGTGGGGTTTGATGAAGCGATCAGATGAATATGACATGTTTCATGACGTCGCTGGTCATACTTGCAAGCTGCCAGAATCAGAGACGAAGAATGTTGTCCGCTGGAAGTTTGAGGCGTCTATTTTCCTCACAGCCAGAGCAAGAGAATCTGCAGAGATGGTTTCTGTTGTGTCTGGTAGCACCAGCTTCAAGCCCACAATGTCCACAATCCTGATAATCCTAAGCAGGGAGACAGGCATTCTGGGTATGTGATCAGCATTATATTAGCCTCAGAGGCACCTCCGTGGAATTGCAATTCTACGATTTCTTTGCTTCAGTAAAGAGAGGGAAAGGTGGGACGATTTGGACCATAACTGGATTGGTCAGGGTTGGAGGCCCGATATGCTTTCATGGGACCCAAACAATCGGCACCCCTGCCCATTGCTTTCTGACAATGACTGCATGGCAACGATCTTCTGCTAAAGTACCATCTAGGATCAGAATCTCCCACCTGAGCTGCGAGCTCCAGCCTCCTAATCAGCACTTCACAAGCACTTGGGCCTCACCTGGTAGAGAATGATGCCAGAGCAGCAGCAGGAGCACCGAGCAGATTGCTGATGATGGCGATTGCCGAGTGACCCAGGGACAGGCTGATGTCTGGACTGGAGAGCACCTCCTCCAGGCGGGACACTACCTTCTCCACCATGGAGATATTGAGAGTGAGGGGATCTTGGGTCTCGTTCAGCAGCAGGGCTATGTTAATCCCTGTTGTCATGACTATTGCAGAGGAAGGACACAGACCGTCACTTAGCAGCTGTGGGAGAGACTGGGACTCAGCTATTCTTAAGGTGTTTACCTGTGCTGGTGGTTGTCGTGGTGACGGCAGTGGGCAGGTCTTTTGGAACTGTGGTTCTTCTTGTGCCTGGAGGATCAGTGCTGTTGGTGTTTCTGGGATATGTAGTATACACAACTGTTTTATTCTCAGGATGAAGAGGTGTGTTATGCAATGCTGTGGTACGTTTTATGGTTGACTTGGGTGGAGCTGTTGTAGTTTTAAAATGTTTCGAGTTGGCTGGATAAGGTGTTGTCATATTCTGTGCTGTGATGCTGGGAGACTCCACTGTGCTGCCCTGTGTGAGGCTGCTGGCTGTGGTGATGTTCTCTTTGGATTTGGGTGGAGGGAGGGGCAGAGCTGTACAGCTTTCATTCAGAAGAATACTAAGGGTTTCACCATCCTGGCTAAAGAAGCAAAAAAACAAAAAACAAATCACTCAGATCATACTGTTTTCAGATAACATGCACAGCAGATTACAGGGCCAGTTCAATCTGCTCTTAAAGTACTTACATCTTTGTTGTTAGACACACAGCAAATATGTAAGTGTGATGCTAGTGGCAAAAGGTTATTTCATTCAGTCTTCTCATCTGGTGATGTCTTATTCTGATTACCGGCACACAGGCTTAGCCCACTGAGCCACACGCTGCCCTATTTGTGAGCGAAATTGCTGTGGCCCACCAGGCAGGGGCAGTACTGACCAAGTGAGAATGATGGGGTCCCGCACCCCGCATATCTGAGAAGCGTTCAGATCCGTGGAGACCCAGGTGAAGCTGGAGTCCAGCAGGTCGGCGGCAGATTCTGACGGCCAGCCGCAGATCGCTGGGGATGACAGGGCAGGTTGGGTGTACTGGCAGTACAGGCATTCCCGAAGCGGTTTGTGCATCGCGGGCCACACCTGTGCGTGTGACGAGGCCATCGAAAGCGATGGCACTGTCATTCTGGAGCAGACTGGAAAGGACCGCACTGACAGAGCAGGCGTCCGGAGGCCCGGCCAGCTTCAGCATCACCATGCAGCTGTACAGCCTGGGGACCAGGTGGACCAATCAGATGGGGGCAGAACCACGTGGACCTATCAGACAGCAGCAGGACCCTGTCTGTGGCCAAGGAGTGAAAGGGCATACCTTACGTCCATGCCATGGCACTCCAGATGGGTTCCCTGTAGACACACAGACACAACACGCTGCAGGAGGATGTCTCACGTGGACAGGCACCGTCTCATAACGGGAGACACGGGACTATGACTGGGGCACGAGCCACACGCATGTAAATCACACATACCTGGTACAGCTGTGATACTCGCGACATCAGCACACAGAGATTCCTGTGAGAAACAGACCGTCAGGTACATGTTTGTCACGCCCGCGTGTGTGTGTATGTGCGTGGGGGGGCAGGGGCTGCACTCACTCTTGGCTGTCATCAGAGGTATTGCAGGGTGGGGGTGAGCTCAGCTCAGAGATCTGCGGGAGAAAAAGCCACCCATGACATTGCTGGTGGTATCGGCACATGTACAAACATGCTGGTGACTGACCACAGGTCACTGCCGGAGCCAGGACATATCCGGCATACAGGCCCAAGATTTTTGTGGGGGGCGGGGGAGGGACCAAAAACCATTTCAATATTTTTACGTAGGATAGCAATACATGAGATATAAACAAAAGGTGAATGTTTATGAGAGATTGCTCATACCCTCATTTTAAGGTAATACTCTTCAACAAAATAAAACAAACATTGCAAATTCTGATATTTTTAACTTGTGAGCCATTTCTCAATGTTTTAAAGCTAAATGAACCAAGTAACGATTCCCATATATCAGCTGTCCCAAGACTGAATGCTCTGATTTTAGCTGTGAATTCTGTGCAACGTCACAACCGAAGCTTTCGCGTTGGGGGGAATCCAGGAAGGAATAATGTTACCCTAATTTTAACGCACAATAAAAGTATAGCGAGATAATGTGCATTGTGTCATTCTATAAAATTAAATATATAATAATATATAGCGAGGGTAAACGTTGTTGACGGGGGTGGTGAAGCGCTGTATGTAGATTGTAGTTTTGGGATGAACACAGTAAAATTAATGATGGTGTCCTTAGTGGGTGGCGTTGGGGGGCACAATGGCTCATTTGGGGGGGGGGGCATGAGGGTTAAGGGCCTTGCTCAATACCAAACACATACGAAGAGGCACAAAGTGAACTCACCGTGTTCTGCAGGTCCGCCATGCTCAGGGTCGGGCTGGTGATGTTAAGCACCACGGTGTAGTACACAGCTGAGGGTGACAGCACAGGGGACACAGACGTCAGTGCTGCTGGGGGGGCGAGGTCACCCCCCCTGCCCCATGGAGGACTGCGGTCCTTACCTGTGTCACCGCAAAATGCAGAGCAATCGCAGGCATGCTGCATCCCTCCAGAAGCTAGATAAGATCAAGGCACTTGTTTACTGAATGTGCTACTCAACTGTGACAGGCTGCTTGCTTTTTAATGGACTGTGCTGATTTTAGTCTTTATGGAATTTGATATTTAAGGATAATTTCACATAGCCGTACTTGTTTTTAGTATCGTTGATGCTTGTTGTCAGTAGTGCAATACACTGTCTCTGATAGCTCGTGGTGCTTGATTATAGCTACTACTTGACTGCAGTATCTGTGCATCTTCAGCACCTGATCATCAGTGATGATTGTTGACTGTTTGTGTTACTTTCTTGCTGCCTGAGTGTATTTCATGCTTGTTTTTTTCCCTGGCATTAATCTGCACATGCTGGTGTTAGTGGCGTCGGAGCATGAGCGTGAGAGAACTTCGGGTTTGGAGCAGACTCACGGCTGCAGAACTGGCTGTCAGGGTCCTGGGGTTCGACGGGGCCGCTCAACAACTCCACAGCTTCGCTGAAGGACAACATCAGGGGGTCACATGCGTGTGCTGAAGGCAGGAAACCTGGGGAGATCCCCCTCCCCCCATGCTAAACCGGGCCTTACCATGTGACGTTGTCGAGCCCTTCAGCTGAGCAGACCTCAGAGAGGGGGGCAGGTGAAATGCACTTCACTAATCTGCCATTGGGGGTCAGCATGTCCCCAATAAGACAAAGGCCTTTACCTAAAGACACCAAGACGTTGGTGAGCTCTGGAATCTCCATTGCTGCAGACAGTATCATGATCCTGGTAGGACCTCATCACCTCATCACTGTTTGTGTTACACTGTGTCACTCTCTGTATTATGCTGTGTCATTGTCTGTGTTTTACTGTGTTGTCGAGCTCAGTATAAAGGCCATTGTGTTATGGTGCGTTCGTTTTTCTCTTGGAACTCGGTAATTCCGAGTTGAGTGACATCACGTCCGACAATCTCCCGTTCGAGCTATCCACATCTCGGAACAAACATGGCTGCCTCCATGAACACGTTGCTGTGTGTTGTTGCTTTATATTTTAGCAGATTTGGAGTTTTCCAAATGGAGAAAATTGAGAAATGGAGATTTTTCCGAGAGACAAACAAGAAACACGAACTAGTCAAACCACATTAAAAGCTTTATAAAATATTTTAATACATTCATAGCGATATTCTTTTTTCGAACGGTAAACAAACTACAAACAAACCAAGTCGCCATGTTGAAATTACGTCACAGGGGCAACTCGGACAACAAAATCTTGTCCGACTTCAACGTCATAAAAGGGGCGTGTTTCCAACGGGAAGTGACGATTTTCGTGACGTTTCGTGACGCTTTCATCCGAGTTCCGACTTGGAGAGAAATAATCGAACGCACCATTACCCTGTGTTCAGCTGGAGCTCTGTGTTACCTTGTATTACCTGATGAAGGTGGTGGACACTCCCACCGTAGCTGAAACTCACCCACTCTTTCGACCTCTCCGAGAAGGGAAGCACGAATGGTGCCATTGCCCCCATCCTCCTGCAGCACCTGGCTCAGCAGACAGGTATCCACAGGCTGGCTTAGCTGCAGCAGCACACTACAGAGGCCTGTCCTGGGGGGAGGGGTGTACAGGGGGCGCTAGAGCGAGAGAACCTTGGACACACTGCTCATATGGGAGAGTCAGAGACAGGCACCCACATCCCATCAATCACACAGAGTGTCAGGGAGCAACGTGTGAGGCATACCAGTCAGACAAAGTATCACAGGGAGGTGAATGGGGCATACCATTCAGGCATGACATTAGGAGGAGACAGGGGGGGTGTGCCACTCAAACAGGACGTCAGGGGGAAAAGGGTGGGTATACCACTCAGACAGAAAGCCAGAACCAGGCAGCTAGAACATGCATAAACTGGATTCAGGGTGAGAGACTGACCTTGTCTGATTCTTCCCATCACAGGTCACATTAATGCCCTGAAAGACGGGCAGGTTCAGGAGCTGGCAGCAAAGTATGTGTGAGGATGCTGAATGTGAAATCTGGCGGGTGCTTACCTGCAACTGATTGATTGTTCCATTCCTGCAGGCCGACTTCCTGCAGGGTCGGAGATACACATGTATGTGTCACACCGCTCAGCATGTGATAAGACACACAGAAACACTGCCTTCTGACACACTCAGTCTGTTCCTGTTTGTGTAGTGCTGCCTTTAATGGGCAGGGTCCTACCTCTGGCTTAACGGTCCGTAGCTGGCCGTGATACTGCCTGTCCAGATTTCTGATGGGCTGCTTATTGTGGAGAACAGACCGTCAGTGTATTTATGTGCTGAGTCAGTGGCCTCGGGTTCGTCGTGACTGGGGCTCACACAGGGGACACTGGCAAACAGCTCGGACAGCTGTGTGGAGGGGGCACCAGAGAGTCATGCACACTAAACTAAACACATACACACACAAACACATACATACAGGCACATACACGGTCACAGACGCACACAGATATACACAGACACTCACAAACACAAACACATACATACAGGCACATACACGGTCACAGACGCACACAGATATACACAGACACTCACAAAGTCACAAAAGGAGCCCAGAAAATTCGTACCCAGCTTCTGATCTCTGATTCATTGATTTTGCCATTAGAGGTATTCACAGAGACAGGCATCCAGTAATATGCCCCTGTAGGACAGACACACTTATTAGGTATGTGAAAAACAACATGACCCACCCTGCTGTTCACTAATATAAAAAGCACATATTTCATATTCATTTCTGATAAAGCAGTGATTTAATGGACATACACTTTAATAAAACTTTCATTTGATTTGTTTAATTGATAGAATGTACACTGTATAATTTACTTATTCAGTACTGTAAGTCAAGTGCTTCATGTAATATTGACAGCGAAGCTGTGGCTGACTTTTTCTGGGACGCTCTCAGCATACTCACTGTCATCAGCGCAGAACTGGGAGAAGTTACACTGAACGGGCTGAAGCACTGAAACACAGACAGGCAGCGCCTGAGTCCGCTTATAGTGACAGGGGACCACAAGGAGACACACGTCAGAGTTATCTGTGCATACCCATCTTAAAGGCCCCAGAGATGTACTTGTAGTTTTATTTTTTAGCTTTTTAATTTATTTAGGCATCCTTTCACATTTTTAAAGCGATTATAAGCTGACAGTGGGCGAACAATTAATCCTGGTGTCAGCTAAAGGGGTCAGAACTTTCCAGAGCATTATGCTTTGCTGGGGCTCTCGTGTATCCATACCTGAGCTGTAGGATGCATTGATGTTCAGGTCCAGCTGATTCTTATATGCGTCCTGTGGCTCTAGCACCTTGTTGCTAGCACCTGAGGAAGGCAAAGAGGATGACAATCATGTCATTTTTCTCTCTTGCTTTGCACAGGTAGTCAAGCTAGAGAACAGTGCATGAGGAGCAGGAAGCTTTACCTGGCCCTGACTTACTGCTGTTTGCAGGCCCAGTGGGGGGCATGAGAATGATGGGGGCAGAGTTTGTGGTTGTGGCTGCAGCTGTACTGTGATTGGATAATGGCACAGGGGTGGGCGTGACAGTTGGATCTGGACTCTTAGATGCGCCGATGGGTAAAGGTTCTGGAATTTTCAGTAAACAGGAGACAAGCTATGACTGAAGAAGCTGATTGGTCACGTTGACGTCCAGCACCTTAGGAAGCATGTTAGCCAACCCCTTAAAACCGCACACACATCAGTGCAGGGGCTGATCAAGCCCATCAAGCTAAAGCAAAATGCAGTAGCTGAGCAAAAAGCAAGAGAAGGTCCTGGAGAAAGAAGGCCCAACAGAGAGCGAGGAGCCCAGGAAAGTCGGCACTGAGGCAAAGTCTGGGAGGATGTTCCAGAACATTTTGGGTTTTCATTTTAGTCACTCATTCAAAGCGAACAGGAGCACAAACTTTGATGGCACAGATGTATTATTTCCAGAATGTCTCCCAGGGGAGGTGAAGCCAACCACTTGCTCAACCAGAGCTGCGATTATTCTCACTGCGTTTTAATTTGCTTCTTTACCTCCTTATGTCAGTCAGAAGTTGTATTATTCCCATTGGATGTGAGACACTAAACAAATCAGCCCTGCTCCCCCAGTACCCTAAGAGTCCCAAAATGTGCAGCACTTACCTTCTCGCTTTGCTCGTTTCAGACCTGAAAAATGAAACACGGCACATAAAGAGCAGCCAGGTCAGATCTGGGACTCTCACATACGCACATCACTGTGCTTCCCGGTAACATGCTCTGCCTCGGGATATTATTGTTGGGTCTCTGACCATGAAGTCATGTAATTAGTCAATTAATTGACTTACGCATACCGTCTACCTGTAAAGTGTTCTAAATAGTTCCAAATATTAACATGGCTATTTTTAGTATCAGGCATGCAATATTTTCTTTGTTACGATGGAAGTTATGAGTCATTCTTGTTGAAAGGGGAGAACTGGCATTTCCTGTTTGGGGAAAGTCATGTGCGTATATCAGCGTAAGCTGCTGACTAACGCCTACTCTCGTTCAGCTATTCACACAATAGCTGCTATTTTTCAGTGAAGGGCCAGTCCAATCTCACTTCACCCAGCAGGCATCCCTGGCACGGAAGCCTGCTCACCATGGTAACGGAGCCCAGCCACTCACCACAGGGCAGCTTGTTGTCCCAGACCTTTGCCGTGCCTGCTACAGCCCACTTGCGTGAGTCCCAGCTCACCACTCCACCATCCTTGCAGTCACTGTGCTCCGCCATGTCCTCCCACATGCGAAAGAGGTACAGCTCCAACTGGCCCGCCCCCCCCTGAGAGTCACGGTGCCCCTTGCATCCCAGCAGCAGCTCCCCACTGGGGGGAATGGCCCGAGAAGTGACGGCGCGCTTTTCGGCCCAATCATCCACCTCCAGGAGTAAGGTGTGACCATCGCGCCGGAGGCAGACGTGGTGCCAGAGGTGGGATTTCAGGGACACCGGGAAGCGGTGCTTCACTCCCAGCAGCCACACCTCCAGGCCACGTCCATCGCCCCGCAGCGCTAGGTCATAGAGTGGGCTGTCTGGGGAGCTATAGGTAAAGGCTGTCCATGGGCCAGGGGAGAGAACTCGCACCTCCATGCACACGGTCACCTGGACGAGCGCCGGCACCTGCTCCAGCGAGGTCCAGTAGTCACCACAACCCTGCAAGAACTCAGCCTTGGACTCAACCATGAAGTAGCAGTTCACTGTAGGGAAGTCATACAACATGAGCCAGTTTAGTGTGAAGTGAATGAGGTGACTGGGAGCTCTAGGACATGGTAACTTGATTGGTTAGGCATTATCGACATTATTTAAGGGCCTGTGGGTAAATCACGTTATTATCCAGTCTGCTTTGTCTATCCTTGCTACTCCTCTGCTTTAGCCATTGCCATGGCAACTCAAAACAAATCCAGGGTCTTAGCCCTCTGGCTACTCCATTGATGTGTGCAGAGCCTCCACATAATCTCACAGGCCTCTTCTGTGTCTTTCAAATATATTGTGTGACCTCTGAAGAATGTTTCCTTACATCATGTAACCTAGGCTATGGCTTGACATCATCAAGTCAAAACATTCACCTTGAACAGACAATCACACTTTAAGCAGCTTTTACATGGTTGAGCTTCTATACATTATAATGCCCTGCATTGAATTCAGGAATTCCTGCAATGTCTGCCATTACTGAACGTAATGACTGTATTTTAGCCACAGCTTGTAAAAATCCTGAAGAAGCTGCATCAGGGGTGGTACTGTGGCATCTCATACCTGGAATGTAATGCTGCCCCTGGCTCTGTGGGTCCAGAATTGCTACATTCTCTTCACAACTGTGCTAGTGTCCTCTTGGTAGTGTAAGACCCTAGGGTCAAAATCAAGTACCCAAGAGACATAGCGACACCCTACTGTCAAAGTTAAGTGCCCTAAAGACACCATGACAACCTAGGGTCAAAAGCAAGTACCCTAGAGACTACTACCCCCAATCACTTCTTTCCCAGTTGTGTAAGTGAACTATGTTTCTCCCTGTGTGAGCATAATGATCCTTGTCAAGATGCTATACTGATTTCTGTACCTGTTCGGAGGTGAAAAAGGAGAAGCCAGATACAGAGCAGGCCGAGAAGAGTGAGGCTTCCAGGGGTCTGGAGGCAGTCTGTGGTCCTGCACAGCATCCTTCTGGAAGACAGGAACAGATTAAATGTGTCTGTGTTTGGCAGTCAGGAATATATCGAGTGTGTCTGTGTTTGGAAGAGAGGAAAACACTGAGTGTCTATGTTTGGAAGACAGGAACAGATAGGGTGTGTCTGTGTTTGGAAAACTGACTGAGTGCCTGTGTTTGGAAGTCAGAAACAGACTGTGTGTGTCTGTTTGGAAGACAGGAACAGACTGAATGTGTCTGTGTTTGGAAAACAGGAACAGATGGAGTGTCTGTTGGGAAGAGGCTTTCCCATTATATCTCAGCCTAGCTTTAGTTTTGTAAATTTGACACACACAGCTGCTTACAAAGCGCCCTTCTCCATTCAGTTTGCCCTTTAACTCTCACTTACACAGAAACTGTCAGATTTTCCACCATTTTCTGCCTGGCAGCCCAGGTGTGATGGGAGATTTTACAGGTTAGCCAGTTAAAGCCTGTCACCCATCTGTAGGTTTTCCAGCTTAAGTATCGTTCAAATGAAATAACCTTCAGAAGCCAGTACCAAAGCTGTCTGTGCTCAGCATGGTGATGGTGCTATGGGCCAGTGGGAGATCAATCAGACATTCAGTGAGACGCTACCTGGTGTCCCATCAAAGAGCACAACCATCAGCCTATTCTAGTGCCCTTGATGAAAGCGGACCTTGCTGATTTTAAGCTGAATGCCCAGCCCAAGATTTCAATGTGTGACTTTGTGTTTTTATGGTCTCCGTGTAAAACCTGTACTGGTACATACCACACTGAGTATGTACCTATAGGTACCTATTACCACACAGCATTAGTTGGCAGATCCTGCCCCAGCAAGGCCCCCAAAATGCTATATTCCAGTACCAAAGACACACATGTGAATATAACACCCATAGTGTATATATGTAAACCTGTTGGGCTGAGCTGGGGAATGGAGAACTTAAATGACACATCTATTTGCAAGAAGTGTCTCGTTCATTTTAGATGACTATCACCTGTCTGTCACTCGGCATTAGTCAACATTACAAAAGCCTGTTTGTTTCAGCAATTTAGAAAAAAATCAATAAAACAATGGCTAGTAAATGTTTTTTAAATGATCACTGAGAGGTTTATTAAAATGATGTGCTGCGGATGCTCTTACCTTTGTGCGCCAGTACATCCTAGCGGAGGCGAAATCGCTGAGGCTCTTCCAGCCCTGCATGACACGGGTGCCCCATTTGTTTTGCGACTCACCAGGGCAATCAGAAGAAGCCAATTATTTGTGTCCGACAGCCGAAAAACAGTGTGTCCGATAGCTGTTCAGATCCCGACAAAAGTGAACAGGGCACACAAGCACTATGTGCGGAAATTGAGTTTAAAGTTACAAAGAGTAGCAATGTGCTCCAGGCAAAGGGAGCCTCAATGCCAGACACTCCCACCATTACAGTCTGTTCAGGAAGGCAGGGCGATTACACAGCACGTCAATCACATCAGTCATAGTATGCTGCTCCCAGAGGACCATTTCACAATCAGCAACGCGTCGACGGTACTTTATAAAGAAAACACAGTTTCCCAGCCAAATTCAATGGTTGTTTATTTACAGCGTGTATTTACTATTAAAATCCAGTGTTATCGACATTTAAAATAACTGTTAATCACGTTTTTATGCTCCTGTCGTCGTGGCTCACGTTTCAGGTATAACAGCGGGATGCTGTTTCTTAACAGAGACTGGAAACAACTTCCTTCTGGTGTTCACACCCTTCCTCCCATCCAGGACTGACTAACGTCATACTGTCGCAATCCAGTAAAACCTGGTATGTGAAGAGACTAGGTGACGCAAACAGGTGCAGAGTGTAGCATAGGTCCTGACCCAACTGATGAAGCTAAAATGAAACGTGTGGCGGTGTGGAGAGAGTGTGAGACCGTCATATATCTCACTGTGAGATTCTTTACTGGGAGTTGAAACAAGCAACAAGCACTAAAAAAGATAATAATGTGGATGGGGGGGGGGGGGGGGCTGATAATCCTCCCAATATTGGAACCCCCCTGCCCCGCTACCCAACAATACATCAAATTCTGCTCAAGGACACAAAGGACCCGGAGGTGTTGCCATGGTGATGCCTGGTTCTCTAGGCCACATGACAGCTAGGGCCAGGATGTGTGCCTCGGTGCTTCCTAGAGACTGGTTGCCATGCCAACCTCAGGCCTAAGCTGCATGTGACTGTCTGGGTTTGGATGTGGCACTACATGACAGCCAGAATCCACACAGCGCAGTGCCTCAGCATAACCCAAGTCCCTAACCTTAACCCCAGGGCTCTGCACTGCCGCCAGTGCTGCATCTTACATTCCACTGGCATCATATGACTCATAATACCTGTTTTTCGAGTCTCAATACCATATTTTTACGTGTTTGATATTAACGTATGTGTAACACTCATAAACAAACAAATAACTTTGAAATGTTTTGTCATAAGCCCTTTGCATGTGTATCTGCATGTTAGCAGCTACGTCAATATGCGCTTACGTGCATCACATACTTCTCACTGTTTCTGTTTGCTCAGGTATGTGGGACTTTTGAACATAACACTGCACTGTTAAGGGACCATGTGTTAAGGGGCGACCTGCTAGGTAGGTGTCCACTGAGGATTGGGACCCTCAGGTAGTTTTGGAGGCTGGGAGGTAACAGAGGGGTCACTGGGGGGTCAGTGAGGGTGGGACCCTTTAATACAGCTGTTTTCCCTGTCCTCCACAGAAGCTGCCTGTACTGTACAAATAAAAGGTAAACACCCACAATCATACTAAGGGACATTTGTTTAGAGGTAATCACTATGTTTTGTTTTGATTTCAAATGGTTTGATTGCTTTTAGTACTGTTAGTCTGTATCAATAGAATTAAGACAGGAAGAGAAATGCTGCTTTTTATTTTAAAATCCATGGTTAGCTTCTGGACGGCGTCATTCAGAGGGACTCACTCTGAAAACAGTTGATGTGGCTCTGAGATGGGAGAATCGCGTCACAGGCATGGAAACGGCTGAGCGTCGCAGCTCGCAGCCTAACACTGGGCCCATTTTCCACACCAGCATTTGCTTTTTTCTTCTTTTTTCTATAGTTGTGAAGAGATTTAGAATCTGTACAGTGCAGCGTTACCATGGTGATAACTAACAGGTCACAACACACTAAAGTAAGCAAAACCAAGCCTGGATGACTCTTCATTTTCTCCCCTTTGTCTCTCTCTGTCCCTATTTTGGTTTCCCTTTCCCCGAGGGTTCAGAAATACTGATAATTGACATCAGTGTGTCCAGTGCTGCCATTCTGACTACATTTGCTCTATGTTCACAGGACCCCCGGGAAATTCCTGCTGCACACTGGCTTTGTAGGACAGAGCAGAAAACCTCTTCACAGACACCCCCAGCAATGAAACCTGGAAGCTGAAAATGAGCAGTGTAAGGGGAGCACAGGTGCAAGTTTACCTGCCCCAGTAAGGTGTGGGAACATGAATAACCTTTGCTTAAAAAGCCATCACATAGCTGGCCCCTCCCCTCTGCCCCCTCACTGCCATACCTCTCCCCATTGTGTATTTGTCCAGAGGCTGTTTTTTGTGTGGCGTCCTTTCCCAAGTGAAATGGCAAATGTTTTCACCTGGTTGAAGTGCAAGGCATGATTTCCTTGTTACACAAACAACTATTCAAGACCACATGACCCCTCAATTGCAGTACTGCATACTGGCCACTAGGGGATGCCACATTCCACACAAAATGCATAACAGGCCTACACAGACTATACCTTACATTCATAGGTAAATGGCATTATTGAAAAGAATGTGACAGGCATTGGCAAAGGCAGTGACACTGTTTTAACACGATTTACTTTATTCATCTTCAACTTGTATAAACAGTTACAAAAAATGGCAGGGTCTTTGTCAGAAGTAACAACAGTGACATTTCAATTATGAATGTGTGTCTGTGCAGAGGGAGAAATTCACAGGTGTGAATTTGTGTGTGTGTGTGTGTGTGTAGGAAAAGGATCTGTGTGTCTGATCCAGTGATCAGTGCTGTGAGTGTGCGTACATGTGTAAATGTGTGTGTTGGATTAACAGAGAGCAGCATGTTCACTGCCGGTACAGAGACACTACAGTGGGGGTCCCAGCAGGCACATGCCTTCATTTTACCTGCATAATGCTGCAGAACGTCAAACACAGCATAACACAGCGGCCACCCTCCCTTCGACCCCCCGACACGGCCACAAATCCACAGCTTCACAGCATACAGCATCGTCTCAACGCAGCTGAAAACCCCGGGACTACGGTAACGACAGAAGGTGCACAGGGCGACTAGAGGCAGGGTTTACAGAGATCAGACGCCTGCAGCTCTCTCACTAAATGCAGAGCTCATTTATAAAATGAGGGCAATCAAGAAAGTATACTTTACAGATCTTAAAGGGTAGAAGCTTTCAAGCACAGACAGCCGCTCAAATCATAAGCCTAGAGAACCCTCAAGAGAGAGCTCACAAAGACCAACAAAACTGAGGTGGGGCATTTCAGACCGGAACGCCTCTGTGGTGGCAAGCCCGGCCCTGGCTTACTCCGCAATGCTATGTTCCAGCCCAGACCACATCTACAGGATGTTGTGATCTACAGAGAGTATGATGGTACATTTACTTCACAGGCACACCAGGTCTCTCACTCTGCGGTAGTGTATTACAGCCCCAGACTGTTCTGCAGTGGTATATCCCTGTCTCAGTGGCCCCACAGTGGTAAACTCCTACACTGAAACCCACCTGGCTACATATCTACCTATTAGGGGTGTAACGATATTACAAACCGAACCGAAATATCGCGATACACCAACCACGATACGTATCGCGAAACTCTCGTGGCGTAACGCGGTACTCTCACGCCCCCTGCTGCCCATAGTTGAGGTTGACGTCACTTGTCTCTAACTAATTTAACCAATTTAAACACATCTTTATTTTATCACATTTGATTAAATTGTATTAGTAATGATGAGCTTTTGTTCTAAATTTTGTTCTAAATATTATATTCTAAAGTTATTAGAATTGTTTTTTTCTGACTAGTCTATATTGGAGGTATTTATTTAATTTTTGTTGTTTACTCAGGTATCCTGACTGTACTAAAAATGTGATGGCAAAGTTAATAAAGAAAAAGTTTAGTTGTTCTTGTTATTAAGTGAATCTATTGTTCCTTAGCATTGCTGTTAAGATGACATCAACCCAAACCCACAGCAAACAGAAACCGAACCGAACCGAACCGAACCGAGGCTCCAAAACCGTGAACCGAACCGAGCCGAGGCTCCAAAACCGTGAACCGAACCGAATCGTGCCTTTGGTGTATCGTTACACCCCTACTACCTATATACCCATATATGCTCACATATGCGTAGCTCTGTCTGCAAAGGGTTATTATATTAAGTGAATATGTGACAATAAATAAATAAATAAATAAATGTTTGGTGCGCTGCTCACAGGCAGATACCACCACGGACCGACCCCCAAACAATCTGTGGGCACTTTCCAGCTTTCTGAGTGTTTATGACCATGCCAGCCTGCCCTTCCCAGTGACCAATCTTATTCCTGCTTTCCCAAGTGCTCCTAGCTATTCTCAATGTGGTTGTTAATAAATCTATTAGAAGCTCATCATTAGTATACTCAAAATGACGATAAAGAATAGCAAAAACTATAACTGATATTTTAGTGCTGAATAATGAAAAAGACCACAGCAGAACATATATCAATTTTAGATAAGCCTTCCTTTGCATAATATGAAATTACCCAAAACTGGGCAAGCAGCTCCTATGTTTAAACACAGACCCGAAATCGATGCGAAATCGAGCGCATCTCACATCTACGTTAAATCCAACCCTGATAGCGCGCTGGCATGAGGGTTCTCTCAGAGTTTAGATGCTTCAGATCTACACTACTGACTAACATTACCGTAATGTAATGGTTACATCCACACAGACACTTCAAAGTTCCCCTTTCAAGCACTACATTATGAGAATTCAGGTAAAGTCCCTTAGTGTTTTTTTGCTCATAGGAGTTTTACTTACACAAAAATGTTCTGAGAGCAGAACAAAAAATGATTGCATCTGAGATAATCAATGTGATTGGTTGGTCCCGCCTCCTCTAGTGGCTTGGACCCACCCCCTGTACAATCTGATTTGTTATCTCTCTGAACCAATCATTTTTCTTTCTGCCCTCAGAACATTTTTGGGTAAAACTCCCATGACCATTTTTTCCCCAGTGAGAATTTGATTATCTGGATCAATAAACAGAGTCAGGATATGATGGTCACAGTAATTAGCTGACAATATCATTAAATTCCTGCAAAACAAATATTTCCTTTGGCAATGGTTAATATTTCAACAGTATTAGCCCCGCATTTCCCATTAGGACTGTAATGTGTCTCAGACCGGAATTACTTCCGTGAACCATTTGCGACCGTAATCACCTACGTAAGACCATTGACTGTTATCCATCAGGCCGTCTTCCAGCAGTCCGTCCTGGAGCATGCTGCCAGTCACGTATTGATTACATTTACATCATTTAGCCGACGCTTTTGTCCGAAGCGACGTACAAGTGAAGCAAATAGCACATTAGAAACTCGTTTGATTAATGGATAGCAGCTCTGGTACTTTCCTTCTTACGCCGAAAGCAAGTCTAATTACTGGGCTATATTCATCCATCTATCCATTCATCCCAATGCTATAAAAAGCACTACATTTGGCAGAAGGAAAGCCCTCCAGGGCTGTGGGTTTGACTCTTTCCTTCTTTGTGCACCCGTGCGATTGAGCGTGTTCCGTTGTGCCCTGTAATGGATGGGCAACCTGTAAAGGAGGCTCCAGGTCTGTTTCCCTGTGCTGGCTGGGACTGGCTCCAGTGCCAAACTGGACAGGCACTATGGAAGATGGACTGATGGACAAACATCATGCTTATAGAACTTTGAACTCCAGACCACTAGCTTTGCATGGACATGTTCTGTTATGTGTTCAATGACGAACATTAAATTAAATAAATTTTTCCTTAAAAACACTAGCCTTCATATTATTTGTGTGTGGACTTTGCACGCCAGAGTCTCTAATTCCCCAGTAGTGAATGACAGTATGTGTTTGGGCCCTGCGATGGACTGGCATCCCATCCAGGGTGTCCCCCAGCCCCGTGCACTTTGCTGCCTGGGACAGGCTCCAGACACCCATGAGTGGAGGATGGATGCATAGATCTTTCCAAAGAATATATTTCTGAGCAGCTCAGCAACACTGTCCAATGCGGCATTGATTTTCTGCAAGGTCGATGTTGTATTTTCAGGTAGCTTTTCTACAGCATTCAAATGGGTGCTGACAGTATTTGCAGAAAAAAAAAATCATACACCAGAATGCACACTCCTCGCAGTGAGTAACTGTACTTGGCAAAGGATGTTTCGATCTGTATATATTAACGTTAGACTACCTAATAAATAAGAATCATTAAGAAGATGTACTTCCTAAAAGAAACTGCAGTCGACACAATTTGTCATTTTGGAGGGTAACTGGGGTGGTTTTCATATAATTTCAGTTTACATGAACAGAATTTATAAAGTAAATCACATTTATTTTATACTTCAGCTAGTCCACATCATAATTATATTTAGTTGTGCTGCATAAGTCATCGGCACTGAACACTTTAATGTGGAGTTATTCAACTTTAATGTATAGACTCACACACTCCAGCTACACAATCCACCCAAGGCTATAAGTGTGGCCCTAACCGTAACCAAGGCCCTAACCATAACCAAGGCTCTAACTGTAACCATGCCAGTCTGCGGTTCTGCTCTTACACCGATTCATACCCTGTGATCCTTACAGCTGCTCTGACATTCATCCACCAAACCAGTACCCAGCTGATGTCTCTGCCTAAACTCTGCCTATTCCGGTATTTCAACTGGTCAGACTCTGTCACTGCGTTCCCTGGACTGAATTTCACCATTGTAAAATTCAACCAGACATGACTCTACACTGTAACACAGGTCTTACATGAGAAATTCACCACAGGAAGCAAGACACTCACTTTTACAGTTAGGCCTAGAACAGCATTTCATCATGACAGCTCAGCCAACCTCAACAGAAATGCCTGAAGTAATAGGTCACTATGACAACAAGATCTACAGTCCAGTAAAGACATACAACAATCACGAACATGGGAGCAGTGCATCCGTGTTTGTCCTTCACCCAGTTCACTTGACAGAGACAGGACCATATGCTGTACCTATTACTGTTCAAATCACAGATGGTGAAACGTGCGAACGAATACTTCTAATTCACGCTAAGCTATACATTTCTGAATGCTGTCCAAACCATATTCAGGAGTGACTTGCAAACCTTTACACCAGCTGCTAATCTCTAATGCTGTGGACACTGCACTGGACCACTGCAGGCTGGAGTCTGGGACTCACCCACCCTCATATCAGGCCACACCCACTTTGGTCACTGGCTCCACTCACACTAAACTCCATATATGAAGCTCTGCAATCCAGCCCTGCCAGATGCTGTCATCATCTCCTCCCATACTGTGTGCCCTGGCCCATCCTGGGTGGTTCTGCTTCTTCCAGTTAAACAGTGGTAATTTGGTCAACCACGCGAGTACTATCTGCCATCTCCACACACTCAATCTCCTCCCTGTTCTCGGAGGCTTTCTTGCCCTTACGTTTCTTCTTGGATGGTGGCAGGAACGTCAGAACCACAGGCAGGATGGCCAAGCAGTGGAAAAGAGTGATGAGCGCTGTGAGAAAGAGGCACCGGAAGAGTGTGCGGGTCAGATTGGACGGCACGGCGGCCAGGGGCAGCAGGGCAGCGCCATAGCACAGGTAGGTCTGCAGCAGGGGCACCCCGTGCCGCTCAAGCGCCTGCTGCACCCAGCGGGTGCGCGTGTAGTCCCGGCCCAAGGCGAACGTGGAGACCAGGGGGCTGCCAGCGTCAATGGCATGGTTCACACCGTGGATCAGGCAGAGGACGGAGACGCAGTCCAGCTCCACCCGCCACAGGGTCATGAAGCCGACCGCCCCAAAGGCCACTGAGGCCACAGTGACCGTGAGCCACACATTTACCAGTGGGTCAGCTGCCAGGAAGGCAGAGAAGAAGAGCAGGAAGAGGGCGGCGATGCAGGCGTTGTTAAGTGGCGCGCACACGGAGGCGGCATAGCGGTCCATGTAGACAAAGGAGGGGTTGAAGATAATGAACTTCACACGAGAAGTATGCGAGAGCCGGCGGAGCGTGTCCAGCAAGACTGACATCTCCTCCCTCTTGTTCTCGGTGGTCTTAGCGACAAGGAACATGCGCGAGGCGGCTACGTCGGCGTCGCCGTCGCTGCGGCGGGCGAAGATGATGTCGTCGGAGAAGTGCAGGAACTGCGGCTGCTTGAGGAAGCCATTCCGCAGCAGCTCAGTGAAGTTGTGCCGGGGCAGTGTGGAGCTCAGGTTGAGGCTGCGCAGGTAGCCCAGGTAGCTCTCAAACCAAGAGATCCTCTCAAAGCCCTTGGTGTACTCCAGGAGGTCCTCCTGCACGCTGGCATTCCAGTACTCGATGGACTCGTAGATGTAGAAACCAATGACGGGGCTATAGCTGCTGAAAAACCTCTGCTGAGCCCGCGTGTAGGCAATGGTGCTAGTCTCTGTAGCAACCATGTTGCTGAGGTCAGAGCCCTCGCTAACCTGCAGGTAACCCATGAGGGCAAAGGAGACGTAGACCAGGTAGAAGAGGACCACAAAGGGCTTCACATATGTGTTGGTGATCCAGTCGCAGTAGTAGTGCTTCACAAAGGACACCAGCAGGTGGCGCTCGTAAGCACGGAGGTCACCCGGTTCAGTGGCCTCCTCGTTGTATTGCGTGTGCATGAGACAGCGGTACCAGCTGGGCCGCTGCTGCAGCACCTCTGGCCGGGGCACCTTCCGGCAGAAGAGGCTGTGCTGGTAGTTGTTTTCCAGGTAGCCGGCAAAGACAAGGTTGGCACCGTAAAAGGTGAGGACGTAGAGGTAGCTGAACACGATGGCCACACAGGTGTTCCTGCAGAAGAGGCGCACAGCCTCAATGTTGGTGAAGGGGCTGGCCCCGATGCCGAATGTCACCAGGTACATGGCGGTGCTTGCACTGAAGGGCAGCATGGAGTCCGAGAAGACGGCCGCCGCACGCTCCTTCACGTGCTGGTCCTCCCTCGTGCGGCGCCACGATGACAGCATTTCGAAGGTGCCCAGCAAGCCGTGTCCTGGAGAGGAAGAGGAGAAGAGGCTGACTGCTAGCTGGAAGACTAGGGTTGCAGGACTGGCCTGTTTTTGGCCATTGATATTTGGCGAATTTGCAAATTTTGGTTTTTGATCCTATGCAAATGCCCGGAGAAATGTTCCTCATGTGTTTAGTGTGTCTGTGTGTAAATGTGCATTATTTCCTTTGGTACCATACACTGTGTTTATGCAGGGGGGCTGGTGTGCTTGCCACAGTGTGCGCGGCTTTACTGCCGGGATTCTCAGAGGGAGTCATGACTCAGCAGAGTCTCCTCGCCGACTCTCAGGGTGTGTGAATCATTGGGGTCCGCAGCAGGTCTGAGTGTTACTGTTGTATGAAGAGGTGAGAGAAGGAGAGCGAGCGAGACGAGCACGTCCTCTCAAGATGAGAAAGACGGGCAGAGGTGTCTGCAGTGTGAGAGAAGGAGTGCCTCCCGCTGGGCCTTCCACTGAGTGACTCTCTCAGGCTGAGCACTTACGGGTCCATCTTGGTGGGTGGGGGGAAGGAGCCGCAGAGGCAGAGCCCCCTGGTCGATGAGGATTCTGCCCTGAAAACGCCAGGCATACTCCCCGTGCCAGCAAATCCCCCGGCTGGTACCATTCATGCACCAGTGGCTGCCTCTGCTTGTACCGTGAAATTTGTAGCAGAAACATCAAATCATTGATGAGGCAAAATAGTAAATGGGACAGGAGGACAAAGGTCAGAGCGCTGGCCTGTCAGCCGGGGTGATGGAAGGGGCTGCTGGGGGACATTCGTCTCTGCATCCACCCTCTTTGGGAGCACAGCGTAAATTATGGAACAAGGAACAGCAGGCAAGTTCTTTGCCTAGACAGAGAGTCAGGCAGGCCGGCCGAGCTTGCAGACAGACAGGAACATGTGTGTACATGCAGAGTTACGCGTGCAGTCAGCGTCTGTCATTCTGATACTGTGTATACGGTTGGCCTCCCACGGTTGACCAGCATGTGGATCCCATGAATTATCTCTTAACCGCATGTTCTAGTCAGGCACATTATCCACTTATCTAAGATGGAGCTTTTGTGCCTGGCGGTGGCCTTCCTCTCCCTCACACTGCACTCACTGACAGGGGCTGAGAGGCCACTGGCACACTGCAGGCAGCTTAACTGGGTCACTGCCATCTTTGGAACTAAAGGTATTGTGAGGAGGTGAAAGTAGATCACATTTCCCCTTTTATATCACAGTGTCCGCCAACAAGCCACCAAACAGCGTCATCTTTCAGCACTCATATGAGTGAGTCTGCCATGAGTAATATAGGTGCTGATATAGGAGTGTGTGTGTGTTTGTCGGTTTACTGGGAACATTTCCAATATTAATAGAACCAGTTCCAGGTTTGACCCAGTGGCCCAGTTTAGGCTGCCTGCTAAGGAGAGTTCCTCAGAGAGGGAAGGGGGTGGGAGCAATACGTAGAGGATGTCAACAAGGGAGATGGGGGGGGGGTGACCAAAGCTGCAGAGAACAAGGAGTGATTGGTGGAGAACAAGCAGGCAGAGCTCATGCAGGAGTTTGGGTGGCTAAAAATAACCTGGGATAGGTGGGTATTTCATTATTACTGCTTCATGTCTTTGGCTGTCTCATTTGTAAAATGCAAAGCCAACGCAGCACATTTAAACCGCATTGAAACAGGGCTGCAAAAAAGTAACGGGGCTGTGCTTCATTGCACACAGTCTCTCCACCAGCAGGGGGTGCACTCACTTCTAGACACAAGACCCCCACTGCTCAGTTTCCCCTCAGTGCTTTGCCTTTCCTACCTAACAGTTTAGCGTGTGATATGGGCTTGGCTCACTGTCAAAAATGAACGAGGGACTGTCGGCTCACTGCCGATATCACTGCATGTGGATCTGAGCTCTGATCCCGGGTGTTGGGCCAGCAGGAGCGCGGGGAGCCACGGCATGGCCGGGCTTGCTCTCCACCCACGCAGGTGAGAACCTAGCAGGCTGTGACACTTCATCTGCTCCTACAGGGAGCTTGATCCCATGTCCTGCGAGAGCAGGAAGCCCCGGGAGGTTGGTGCGAGTTGGCCATTTGGTCAGCAGTAGCTCGTTCAGACTCAAGCACTGGAGAGCGCTCAGCTCACCCTGAGGGCTCACCCTGCTTGAGCACTGATTGATGTTGACTGATTGAACACTGAGCCCCCGCCACAAGAGGCTGAGAAACCCGGGTTCATGTACTTAAAAGCAGTGGTCCCTCTCCAGGAGGGGGGGCGTGAAGGGAGGCGGTGTGGTGCTCACATGGGTACACAAGTTGACGAGTTCCCACGCCACAGACGTCCCACATGAGACACGGACGCATATAAAACGAGATCCGTGGCAACAAACAACTACGATGGACAGATATTGCGGAAGGCGACGGTCCTACGGATGGAATGGCCTTAAACAGTGATGGACGGCGTGAATTGAGTGCTACAAGAATATATGCTGCAGTGGGTCCCACAGCATGAGTCATAGCTTTCTGGAAATGGGGTAATAATTAGGCCAATCGGGTGCCTGGGCCCCTCCCCTCCATGGCCTATCAGCAGCAGGACAGGAGCTCACGCAACCATTAACGGGCTGATGTCTCAGTAATGGAATTCAGCCGTGCAGGGAGGCCTGACGGTGCGGGCGGAGCCGATAAAGGCCCTAATTACAGAGCGGCGCTTTCATCTCGGGGCCGGCTGCATGAGCATTGTCTCATGGGGGGAGGGGCCACACCATAATTACCACTGTGCTCTTTCACCATGGGAGATGGTGAGAGTTTGGACAAGAGCTGTAGGACAGCATTCCTACTGGGCCTACCACTGTGGGGGAGGCTGATGCAACTGGAGTGTAGCTCTGTACGCAGTTGGAGTATAGCTCTATACTCAGTAGGAGTACAGGTTTCTACTCAAAGTGTAGCTCTACTCGCAGCTAGGGTGTACTCACACTAGACAATCTGTACCATGCCAGAGCACGTTTGACCCCCAAAGTCTAGGTTGTTTCACTAGTGTGACTGCTCCATACTGTAGCCGGCCACGCTAAACCATGCACGAACCCACTTGAAGAGTTTGGGCCTGAGCACAGTTCAGTTGGACTCAGACATGACACACATCTAGTATGATCGTTAACTGTCCCCAAGCACAGAACACAGACATGACGGCAATGATGCTACTAGCACCCGGAAGGAACGGATTGGGTCGGCTGTACAGGGCGGGTAGGCTGTACAGGGCGGGTAGGCTATAACAGATCGGGTAGCGACAGGATTACTTTGGCCTAAGCCAGAGGTGCAGTGTTTGCTGGAAATTTGGGCTGATAAGAGTATCCAAATATTTGGTAAAATATCTTCTTATACATCAGCACAATTAAATAAAAAATCTAAACTAAAGAGAGTTGTGTCACTGCGGCAAAAGCAATGCCAAATAAGCCACAAAATAAGGACATTAATCATGAATCCCATTCAGCTGTGTGATAGTGATTTCCTTGTAATGTTTTCTTCAACTAAAAGTCGCACAGTGATGACGAAAGCATGCTTGGGCCAGGATCGTTAAGTGCAATGTAAGTGCAAACCAGCAGGGATGCGGGGGGGACAGGTACAATTGTGTTCGGGCCCAGTACAGGGCAACAGGGCCCAGAGTGAGCACACCCTTATAGGAGAGCTGTCACAGAGGTGAAGGTGATTATTAGGGAGACTGAGGGAGCGATGAAAGGGCTAAGAGAGCTGGAGAGCATGCTGCGGGGTGAGGAAGGCCAGCCGGGATTCTGCTATTGGATGATGGTGGACGTTCTGTGTGATGCACAGTGATACAAGCTGCTCTTCCTCTCCAGTCCTTCTCTTTCCTGCTCAGTCTCTGCAGTCTCCCTCCTGCTGTTACTAATCTCCTGCTCTCCTTCAGGTCTCTCCCTCCTGCTGTGCTCCACTGTCTTCCTCTGTCTGTCACTCTTGTCCAAGGTGTGACTGCCTGTCTTAATGTGCCTGGCTTTCCCCTGTGAGGGGGTGTAATAGTCGCCTTGGATGTGTGTGCTGTGTGTAGGTGCTGGCCTCCTTCTGTCTTCATGATGCCAGTGCTTTCCTGGGCTTTTGGTTTTCACCATTTGTTGAGTCTTAGTTTGGTTTTGCGATAAAAATGAACTAAACTGGAAATGCCTACAAACACTTGGTATTTATGTGCAGGTCCGTCTGGCTTCAGTTTGTGGCATCTGACTGGTGGAGGCACCGGCTCCCTGCTTTTAGAGGAAATCAATGTCATCACTGATGTCCGCGGCTGTAGCTGGTGGCCATTAACTCAGACACAAGAGATACAAGACTGATGAGAGAGAAAGGAGCGAGAGCAGCCGCCTGGATGAATTAGAGAACATGTCAAAGTGGATGTTTCCCCAGCAGGGGGGACGTGATTGGGGGAGGGTGGATGGATCCATTTATGCAGCATTATGGAGACACCGGAGTGCCAGTGTCATGTGTCACTGCACCACACATGATGCCAATTCCTAACTAATAACTAGCAACTGGAATTAGAGCATGGAAACAGAAACTCAGGAATGTTTTTTCAGAAGTTATCTGGTATACAGGTGCTCCTTGACATACGTTGGAGTTACATTTTGATGAACCCATCATAAGTGTATATCGTCAAATATGAATATCATGTGATAAATAACTACTGGTATACGAGTCATAAATAACTATGGTAACTAAGGAAATAACAGTAACTGAAAAGTAAATAAATGAATACAAGTTTAAACACAAAAGAACACTGTAGGATGCAACGTTAAATGGTGTATGAGATGTTTATGATCACGACGGCTAAAGAGACTGGAAGTGTGACTGGTGGATGCTGGAATCGCTTGGCACCAGTACAAAGTATCGTACGGTATATTGCTAGCCCAGGGACAGATTTCAATTCAAATGTGACTACTGAGTGTGCATCGCTATCGCACCGCCGTAAAGTCAAAATGCCGTGAGTAAAACCATCATAACGTGAGAAGCATCTGTACATCCCTACTACAAGTAAAATATCACATTTCGTGGAGCAGAATCAAGATGATGATGAGGAAATGATGCTACTACAAATGAGCAGACATGAAGTTAGGGAGTCCAGACTCACCCAGCAGGATGAACGGGATGCCCAAGAAGGTGGAGTTGTATTTGCCCCCGGTGAGGTTGACGATGCCGGCCGAAGTGAGGGTGGCCAGACCCACGGTGACCAAGGCGAGGAGGCCCAGCCAGGGCTTGGAGCGCACACAGTCTCGCATGGAGCAGCACAGCAGTGCGAGCAGCGCGCACAGCGCTAGGCCGCCCAGCAGGGGGCGCCCAGCCACATGGCTGCTCCGCTGGAAGTCGCGCTGCAGCGAGGAGGAGGTGAAGGGCAGCAGGCCCAGCTCCGGGTGTGCCTCCCGGAAGCGCTCCAGTGTGCGGCAAAATTGGGTCTCCCAGCGTGACGCCACCGCCTCGTTGAGCGCCCCGGCCGCCTGCAGGTAGTATGTGAGCTGCAGGGCGCGGGCGGAGCGCACTGCGGCCCCATCGCGGCCAACTCTCTGCACCCCGCCCAGTTGGTGGCCAATGTAGGCCTCGCGGCCGTCGCGCAACCGTGTGATGGGGTAGCGCAGGGCCGGCACTGTCCGGTTGGAGGCCCGCCACACCCGCAGCTCCTCCAGCACACGTAGGATGTCATCCACGATGCAGCTGTTGCTGTCATCCAGCAGGCACAGGTGTGCAAAGGTGTAGTTGAAGCCCAGCATGTCCACCTGGATTCGGGTGATGGCGCTGTGGAGCTGCAACGGACAAGAGAGGATCCATGGAGAGCAGGAGAAGACCAGCGTCAGGTCAGTGGTACCGTCAGGGTAGTTCCTGCTAAATCTCTGCCCCCCCACCCCCCCGCTGCCGTAGGTGATGAGTAGATAGATTCTCTGTCACCTCCCTGCCCTCACTGCAGCAGAAAGCTTATTTTCAAACCACTGTTTACAGCATGAGGTCATTCTGACTCCAGCGCCGAGCTCAGAAAGGTGCGCTCTCGCTCACTCGCTGGTGCTTTTCCAGGGTGCCTCCGCCGCCGCATTCTGAGTGGGCCTCTGCTGTATTCGAGGACCTTTTCATTAAATATTTCAGGACCTGGGCAGGTCTTCCCGTCGCACCGTAGAAAATCTCAACTTTTACTCTTACTGTGGTGTGAAGCTGGGCTAGACCAAGCAGGTGGGAGCTAGACGGTGCTGCAAATGAGTCAGTGAACAGAATGATTACCCTGGTGTTTTTCCTGGAAAGTCTGTGTAGTTTTATTTTAAAGTACAGAACTACAGTGAAAATGCTTTCAGATGCAGAAAGACGCAGTACAAAATTCAGTGTTTGGTGTTGAGAATCAGGTTGTGATTTATGGATATAGCAAAGTAAACAGAGTGAATGAGATATAATCCAGTGGGAATGAACATGATGTCATGTTTGAGGTGTTATTTTTTGACACAGTGAGACTATGGCCTGTTTTTTAGTGCACCACAGGTCTGAGGGCTCTTTAGATGCATAGTGAGCAGTGGTGCGTTATGATGCAGTGGCTGAATGCTCTCTAGTACTGATGCGCCAGGAAGAGGCCTGCATTCTGATGCAGGGTGAAAGAGGGGAGTGGCTCTGTGCAGGCTGGGGAAGAGCTCAAATCTGCTGTGTGTAACATGGGGAGGTGTGGCTGGATGCTGAATGGGTAAATGATGTGGTTTTAGATTGATGGCTGAGAGTTGATGGTCACTAACCAAGGGGTGTGGCTGTAGAGCACAACAGGATACAGCTGGATTCAGACTGAGTAACAGGTATTGTTCATAGCACAGTGAGAAGTGTCACTGGATGAGGATTCTGTAGGATTGTGGCCACGGTGCACAACAGGATGTAACTAGATGCAGATGGAGTAAGTAGTGTTTATAGTGCAGTGAAAAGTGTCACTGGATGAGTATTTTGTACGGGCGTGGCCACGGTGCACAACAGGATGTAACTAGATGCACATGGAGTAAGTAATGTTTATAGTGCAGTGAGAAGTGTCACTGGATGAGTATTCTGTGCGTGGCTTGATGCAGCAAAAACACAGTCACAGCCTCAGCTGGTTTACTTTCACTGCAGACACAGAGTAAAATCAGGAGACATATGCAGTGCCTCCAGGTGACATTTCTCTGGGTTGTCCTCTTAATCATGCTAATGGTGTGGGCCTGTAAGATTTGGGGTGTGTCACATTGTTTTTTTTTCATCTTATGACATGACACTTTGTACTCCCATTGGAGAGAATGAGATGCGCTCCCCAGTCCCCACCCCCCAATGTTGAAAGGACACCACCAAGTGTAGGGGTTACAAAGCTTTCCAATCAGAGAGAGACGAATCTAAGCAAGGTGGGTGCTGGTGTGTGAAGTAGGCCATGCTGTACACTGAGTGGAGAAGCAGAGACTGCATTTCATTTTTTAAAAAACATGAGGCAGGAGGATGACAAACACTTCACCTGCACTGACAGCAAAGCCAGCCTGCAGCATGATGAGCCAGACAACCCTCACTGCTTGAAATACCCATCTGACACCAGTGCAGGGCTCTGCTCTCACACCATACTGACCACTTGGCTTTTAAAAGTGCATCGCTCTTCTATAAATTAAAGCAAGCTAGTATAAATAAAATCAAAATAGATGAGGGTGACCTTAAAATGAAATAAAAGAAAATTTCCCATAAATAATGAGGAAAAACCTACCTCCTTTCGATACAGGTGCAAAACAACTAGTTTTGAACGCATAGCATGCAAAGATCAGGCATGCGCGTCAATAATAACCCGCTTCTGAGATTTTCACATATCTTTTCCATAAGGGACGCGATAGGACTGAGAATACTTTTGGGCCTATGCGATGCTTTTGCTTTTTATGTGCTAACGGGTATTTTAATTTTAAACTTAACCTGTCTAAGAAGTTTCCGCTCCTTTAGTCGGGGGTGAGATGCCAGGACGTACATCACACACGCTTAAGCACGTGCCTTCAGTCTCTATACTGGGGGTGGCGAACCTGATCCATGGGCAGCCAGTGTGGGTGTGGGTTTTTGGGATGATCTCTCAATCAGCCAATAATAAAGCAGTGGCTCTGCACGCCAGTCTTGGGGGTCCACTGTTACTGGCTGATGGAGAGGTCATCCCAAAATCCGGCACCCACAGCGGCTCCCCGATCAGGTTCGCTTCTCCTGCTCTATACCGTTTAATTTCCTCTCCTGCTGATTAACTTTACCCGTGAACCCGCATTAGAAAGACGGTTGGAAGACAGATAGCTGAGTGATTAACGTTGGCTTTATGACTAAACCAGAGCCGTATATGCTTTAGTCGTTTGTTGAGCCATAGCCATATATTTAATAAAACTGCTGGGTGAAAACCGCGATAAATCAAATGATTACGAAAATGTTATTATTAAGTGTTGATTATCCGATCCCCTATGTGACTTTGGTGGCAAGAATTAATTATGACGTATGTATGGCAAGATAAGTGGTTTTAAAATTAGAGGCATTTTCCACATCCACAGGTCGCTCTCAGGCGTATTACCCACACTCGAGCACTCGTCCCCCACACCCCAGGGCTGCTCTACTCAGCATATTTACTACTCACGTTCAAAATAAGATCAACATGGTGTTGGTCCAAGACGCTTCCCCGCCCGGAGGTGACGATCACGCGCCCGTATCTCCCCGGCGTCTGCAGGTCCGAGTACAGCGTGTGCTTCGATCTGTTGACGGGAAACAGGCTGTCCACCAAGTTGCCCTCTATCTTGGCCAAACTGTGCTTGGGAGCCAACAGGTGCTCCACGTTCTCCTCGATGCGGTAGCGACTGAAGCTGGCGCCGAGCAGGATGGAGATGAGCACGGGCGCCGAGGCGAAGAAGACCGGGTGGTTGGCGATAAAGTGTCCGAGCCTGTAGAAAGACGTCCTGAGTCCTTCGTGGAGGAGCTGCCGCAGCATCCTGGAGCGCAGTCGCGACGGCGGGTCGAGGAACACACTGCGGGTTGCGAGCCTCTCCCAGCGCTGGGTCAGCACCATCGGGGGCTTCGAGCACAGGCAGCCGCCGGCTACACGGGAGAACCATGCACGCGCAGTGTGACAGTGATCCGGCTCAACTTTATGCGGCCCGGTGGCACCACTTTTGTACCACTTTCGGCATGATTATTTCTCAAATATTAATTTCAGACTATATTCAATGCATAACGTTGAAGGGCGGAACTTAACACATCTGTATTCATTAGATTTCTAAAACCCACACAGTATAATCTGTTACCCCGACACTGTATATTTATCAAGGAAAATCTTTGTCGTATGTTATTTAGAATAATAAATACCGCGCCGTGTCCACGTTTCAGATGCAACAGTCCAAACATGTAGCTACTATCACGAAATTACCAACATACTAGGATATTGTAAGACCCACATATTATGTACCATGACACCGCAATAGTACTCCCCCACAAGTTCGCAAGATAAAAACAATACCACTAACGTCGCTGCAGATTTGCTGGCTATGTCATCCCCTCGGTTCTTCATCGGTACACTGACAAGCTTCGTTTAATTTGTTAATGCTGTATCTTCTTATTATATCTAGGGTAGATAGGTTTCGGATGAATAAATAAATTGAAAATTTACCGAAAAAGGAGGAGGCTCGATGTTTTGTCAAAGCTCCGTCTGCCGTTGCTGTTGCATTACTATTGCGGACATCTTTTAATACGCCTATCCTTGTTTCAAGCTGATCGATACATAAAAACAACTTTGTGTATTTCATTTGCTCTATATTCCTAGTATCATACGCCTATGACAAGATCCCTGATATAATGTGTGATCCAGTACCGCGCTTTAATCAATCGTAAATGCAGCAGCGCAGCGTTGAATCCGGTAGCTCCGGGCGATGAAAAGTGCAAGCCGGCTCCGTACAGGTGCATCGCCTCCACTTGTATGAATGTAGGCGAGGTGTGTTTGTGGAAGCCGGCGAAAAGGTCTACGTCGTCCGCCTGGCACCCTTAAAAACAGCACCTAGACCACATGGCAAACCTGGGGATGCGTCGTCGGGATATCCCAGCCTGTGCGATGCAATGCTTAATGTCAAGAAAAATGTAATGATTCTATTGTAAACTGAAAACTACATCGAACTCTCCTGGGTCTCTGCATTAATACGCGACTTTATCCTCCCGTACATGTGCGACAAATCACTTCCCCCAAGCGCGATTGCAGCCGATTTGCCGTCTCTCACCGGCCTTGCGCAGCCTGTATGAAAAGAAAGGGATGCGAGCGGAAGGCGGACTCTCCCCCTCTCTGCCCCCCGCACGCGCCCCATTGCACACATCCTGCTGCCTGGGATGGTAAGACTGCATAAGAAATTTTCTGATTGGACGATTAACGCCGGTGGATTCAGAGACAAGGGAGGGGGAGAGGTAACGCTTCATCGCTGTACTATTTGTACTATATGGGAATCACATTAAAACCTTTAAGTAATTATAATCATAGACGCTAGAGCTGTGATAAAACAGGAACAATCTCATTGTACATTGAACTGAAGTCCGAGATGTACTGACCTCTTCATTGTCAAGGCGGCGCCTCTACCAAACAATCAATATTTCAAAATAAAATTAGAAATAAAGTATCACTGATGGTTTTCTAAAGAAAAAGTGTCTGAAGTGGCAGTGGTGCCAAATGTTATAGGCTATCAAATCTCGAATCAGTTATGTGAAACACACACTATGTGGTTCCCTTTGAAATACATTTGCTTTTTGCAGTTGATCCATAATTGTAACTTGGATCTGCAGCACCTAATCATTAACAGGTTTGCTAGATGACTGCTGGATGCCTAGTGAGCTTAACACCGTTGGGCTGATTGTATGTTCTAGGACAGGGGTGGCCAATCTTATCCACAAAGGGCCGGTGTGTATGCAGGTTTTTGGGATAACCTGTAGGTCAGCTGTTCAAACTCGGGTGTGAGGACTCTTCAGCCAATCAGTCCTCTAATTAGTAATCTAATTAGGGAGTTGCAGCAAAAACCCGCATACACACCGGCCCTTTGCGGATAAGATTGGCCACCCCTGTTCTAGGACTATGGGAGGAGATCAGGTACCCCAAGGAAACGGGCATGATACAGGGGCATTTGAAGGTGCCATAGAATGCATGTTTTTAGTATTAGAAATTGTTCTCTGGTGTTTACATAGAAGGTATGTGAACTTGGTTTGGTCAAAAAAATGCCCATAAGCAGTTTTACAAGCTCATTAATAGCTTTTAAATGTGTTGTTTGTTATAAATTTGTACTTCTGATTTATTTATTTATTTACTTCAGTATCGATTAGATATTTGTTTAGCTAACCAGAAGTAGGCTACAGGCAGCACAGAAGCCTCTTGTCCATGTAAGTATCACATACTTTGTAATGTTGTTTACTGGTCTCCTGCAACCTGGGCTACATTTCCCAAAAACATAGTTGCTAACAACCTTAGCAACTTACATACAGTAGTTGGAACCAAACAGGAACTTTTGGGAAGCCTGCCCCTGAATGCACTTACTGGTAACACAAATACTTTGTAGCAATTCAGTTTCTGATGGAGTAACAATTATGTACAAATATAGTCATCTACTTAGATTTCCAAAAGGCTTTTGATGTTGTCCCCCACAAGAGGCTCTTACTTAAACTCAAAGCGGCAGGTATTTTAGGAACTGTAGCGACCTGGATTAACAACTGGTTAACAGATAGGAAGCAGCGAGTAGTTATAAGAGGCACAATGTCACAGTGGGCCTGCGTTCATAGTGGGGTACCGCAGGGTTCAATTTTAGGACCACTATTGTTCCTAATTTACATAAATGATATATACATCAATATATACAGTAAACTGGTGAAATTTGCAGATGACACCAAGGTGGGTGGTGTAGCAGATACTGAACTAGCGGCTCAGCAGCTACAGCGGGATCTTGATTTAATTAGTGACTGGGCCGATACCTGGCAGATGAAATTTAACATAGACAAATGTAAGGTACTCCATGTAGGGAGCAGAAATATAAAGTACAGGTATTTTATGGGACCTACTGTACTGAAATAAAGGTAGCTGATTATGAGAAAGACCTTGGTGTGTATGTTGATGCTTCCATGTCTCATTCTCGCCAGTGCGGGGAAGCAATAAAAAAGGCCAATAGGATGTTGGGGTATATCTCCAGGTGTGTGGAGTTTAAGTCAAGGGAGGTAATGCTAAGATTATACAATTCCTTGGTGAGACCTCACCTAGAATATTGTGTGCAGGTTTGGTCACCATATCTTAAAAAGGACATTGCGGCCTTAGAAAAGGTGCAGCCTAGGGCCACAAGAATGATTCCTGGTCTTAGAGGAATGTCATACGAGGAAAGGTTAGTTGAGCTAAATCTGTTCAGCTTCAAGCAAAGGAGACTGAGGGGGGACATGATCCAGGTCTATAAGATTCTAACAGGTTTGGATACTGTTCAACCGAATAGTTACTTTAGCATTAGTTCAAATACAAGAACTCGTGGCCATAGGTGTAAATTAGCAGGAGAACATTTCAAACTGGACTTACAGTAAGGAAGCACTTCTTTACACAGCGTGTAGTCAGAGTATGGAATAGTCTTCCTGATAATGTAGTGCAAGCTGAATCCTTGGGTTCCTTTAAATCATAGCTAGATAAGATTTTAACAACAGCTATTAGTTAAGTTCTCCCCAAGCGAGCTCGATGGGCCAAATGGCCTCCTCTCGTTTGTATAGTTCTTATGTTCTTATGTTCAAATATAAGATGCGTCACGATTCATTAATGACAAACAAACATGAGATCAGTATTTCAATTATTCATTACTTGTTCCTTCAGTAGCTCCTTCAGTAGTTCACAAAGATTTACAGAATTGACAGATATAGTAACAAATATTGTAACTGCTTGAGATAAAAGATGCGTAACAACTCATTAATGATGAATGAACGTGATATCATCATGTAACTAAGACTTGGTTCGTGGTTAATTAATACATAAGTAATTTATACATAAGTATATTCCTGCATTATTTGTGTCCCTTCAAAGTAAAGTGTTTCCCACTTACATTCTTAGCCCACTGGTAAGAAATACAGTAATGCTTGTGTAAACTGTGCATTCGTGCCCCTCGATAGAGAAAATATGTGTTTCAGGTTGCACAGGGTCATTGGGCTTTAGAGTGGGCTGGTGTATGTTAAGTTTGGGGGTGTTCTTGATTCCGTTCTGTAACAGTCTAGGATTTTTGTGTCAGCTTGATTTACCATCTTTTTTTACATATGCAGGATTTATATTTGAAAGAGGGAACAACAGTGTTTGAGATTCACAGCATGTCAGTTCTATGGATCATGAAACTCTCCATATTCAACTATGCCGAGATAAAGTCAGATTTTTATTGTATTGCACCTTTAAACTCCACAGCCAGGGTGAGCTGGTATAAATAATAATCATACAGAATTATTAAGCTGCAAGAATGAAATTCAGATGGCCTTTGGCATTGTTGCTAATTTAATTTGATATCAAAGGTCTCTTTCTATGCATTTTACAGCAGAAAATGTTGTATTCATTTTTGTCAGAATTGGTGCCAATTAAGGGTGATTGTGATTTTCACTGATTATTGTGTGGAGCACAGGATCTGCTCTAGTCTTTCAGAGTGAATCACAGCACATTCAGAAAAAGGAAACACACTGATTCAAAGCACTGAGCTCATATTCTTCTTAAAAAGTTACATCTTGTACATCTAAGCAACGTGTTTTTATCCTTTTCTAATGTTATGAAAATCACTGGGTATATACAGTGTGTCCAAGGTAAAGCACAAAGCCCAGCCACCCAGCCGCTGCAGAATAAGCACAACATTTCCTCACTTCCTCACCAGATGTGTCTAAAATACAGCACTGTGTTTTGGCTCAGATTAAACAACTTACCAGACATGGACGTTTGGTGGAAAACTTTTGTAAAGTTAGGGGCTGCTGATTGAAAAACAATGCAAAACAATTACAAATAATCCTGTATTTAAAGACCTGAATAGTGCATCCTAATGTGATTTGTTCGTAGAATAACAGGTTACAGTGTCTTAGCCTATAGTCAATTCAAGGGAAGGGAAGGTCTGTGGTCGTAGCGATGATCAGAGCTATTTGACAATACAGTACAATATCAGTAACCTCTTTAAAAGGTAAAATGTTGAATAACGTTTTCAGCTAATCCCTGATAGTATAATGGGTGGTGTTTATAATAACATATTTAAATTTTCTGAAAGCCCCTGTAATCAATACCCACCTCCCTATAGCCTCAAACATGTTAATCCTCTGCTGGAAGCAGATTCAGTCAGCATAGCCAACGTTCTTACAACTGTTTGGGCCTGACCACAAAATCTGCTTTACTGGAAATGATAAAGTAAATAAAAATCACAAATCGCAACCTGTTGAGCAAGGGTGCAACCATTGACAGCGGTTGCTGGGCAGCACGCCTGTAGCATCCTCCGTCTCTCCTTCCAGCCAAATTACGTGACTTTCAGGAAAAACTTTCATAACAATTTGGCTGCAGCTGGGCAGGTATGTCGCAAGTCAATTAGGGTTGACTTTTCACTTTGATTCGATTTTGATTCACACATGCCTGATTAGATTCCATTTCAAATTTCAAGTTACTATTGTTTGATGAAAATAAGATCATGAAAAACAATATATAATAGTAAGCATGAAATTTGTTCTTGTACTTACCTGTGAATACACCGAAACATTTTGTCCACACTTCTTCCTCTGCAGTTCTTGCATCCAGCTAGAAATAAATTAGACTTTCATGCACTTTGCTTCAATGTTACCCACAATGTTTGAAAAAACAGAATATTAACAATATTCTCATAACTGACAGCAGGACACATCCAATAATATCCATTTTCTCTTAACATCATTTGCTTTTATTTTTTTTCATTTATATTGCTTTTACATAAACTTATTTCGTGTCACCATAAGCAGCGTACTGAATATGACCGGTGTTAGATTAAAGCCCTACTTGTCTTGTTTGCATTCAGGTCCTCAGAGTATCGCGCTACCATGTCTGAAAATGCACCAAGATGGCGGCACGAGGCGTTTGCGCAGCACTATTGCAACCCTCCTATAGGTGAGAGAGAAAATAGCGCTAATAATATGATAAGCAGAAAATTTTCAAAGTCATGGGGACAAGGTATATATTAACTACATCGATTTTGTGATTTTGTGAATCGATATTGAATGGTGAAGACCAGGATCACAATTAATCATAGAATCAATATTATTCCCACCCCTAAAGTCAATACAGACTTAT